GCGGGCCACGGGCGTCCTGGGCGCCGTCCTGCGTAGCTCACGGATGAAGCCATCTACACGCTGGCATTGTTAATGTTGTTTTCCGCATGTCAAGTGCTTTGAACTAAGCTGGCGAACGTCTTAATTCCAGCTTTGTCAACACTTAAATCATCTTACCGCCAGCGTATACTGTAAAATCGCCACAGGGAGAAGGAAGTGCACAGCAAATCAAGTTTACTCTGCCTGTCATTTGACTTTTATTTCTAGAGCCAAGTTCTTTACTGACTTGCACTGCAGGCAGCGCTGTTAACTGCTCTTGGGGATATAAGTCAGTGCAGAATTAGGCCTCCATTCTTCTCTACAGAAACTCATTTGATGGTTGGTGTGTTACACATGGGCATGCTTTGCCCATTCTTAGCGATTTCTATTAGACAGCTATTGAGAACGAGTTAAGCTACTCAACGTCTTAGGGTATTTTATTGCATTCTTTTTCCTAAATGATCTTAGAAACCCCTAGGAGGATAGCTTATAAGATACTTTTAAAAATAGGAATATTAACATAAAAATAAGGACATTAGCTTGTTAATTTATGAGCTTCCCTAGAGGAGAGTTTGTTTATTTGATGGCAATAAATAAACTGGCTGTAGAGTATAGATATCTCAGACCTCAGCAGGAGCCTTGGCAGCCATACAGAGAAAATTTTATATTCACATCAATTATATAAAGAGGGATATGTCCATTCTTCTCTTTATGGATTCAGATCATTAATACAGGGTTACAAGGAGCCCCTTCTCAGCTGTTATCATTAACATAACAGAACCTAGTTTGACAGGCATTTTCATCTTGGCTCCTGATTAAAGCAATTTAGCATTTAAATATCTGGACTAAACACAGTGGCTATTTGGTCCAAAATACACACGGGCACATGTACGTGCATGTGAATGCACACACAAACCCACAAGACAGACAAACGCACGCACATAAACACACATGCACATGGTCTTAAAATCACAGTCATTCCAGAACACTCTAGAAGGAAATTTTTGGTTTTTTTAAGGAAAATGGGGTTTGTTCACATTTATAAAAAGAAGTAACAAAAGGGGTCAGATTCTTGTTCTGAACTTCCTGGGTTAAAACTATGCCAAGGGTTGGTCTTCACTAAAATCTTTGTTGTGATTGAAGAGCTCTTAAGACAGCGAACAATAGAGTACAATACTCTAAAAATGTTCCTGTGCTTATTATCTCTTAACTTTTTCTTGTCCTCTAGACTATGGAGTCACTGAACAGTGGCAAACCTTTCTTGCAAGCTTTCTATGTAGATCTTCAGGGAGTCATAAAAACCTTGAGGTATTATGCTGGCTGGGCAGACAAAATCCACGGAATGACCATTCCTGTAGGTAAGGGGATTAAAGCACAGGTATGCACCTAAACCTTCTCATGGCCAAATGGTTTAACAGATAACAGCTTCAGGAAAGGCAGAAGAGAACCTTGTTTTGGTCTTACAGTGTGTAGCATGTTGCTGAAGCAGATGAGGTGTAAGGCTGACAAGTGCCTTGAAACACATGAAAATCGTGTTAGCTGTCTGCTTAAGAAATGGTTGTGCTTATACATACATATATGTATCTTGTTTATATATGTCTTCTTACTGCCTATGCAAATAATCTTCCTTGTGATAAACACTGGATCCAAATTCATTTATGCTTTGAGAGAGTTTGTAATGTTACTGTAGAAAACTGTACATACATAGCAGATGTATTTTGTTATATATGCTTCTTCAGATTGGATGAATTTTGTATTGCATGTATGAGATAAATTTTTATGAGTTGTGGGAAATTAGTTATTCCGCTCTTATTTTTTGCTAAAGAGATAAGAAAAAATCCTTAACATTATCTTTTATTTAACAAGCCTCTTCCTCCTGCCCCTCCTTGCCAGCTGTTTAACAAACAAAGGCTGCGTTTTCTCTTGCAAACATGTGCATTTGCAGTCTGGACTAGATGAACCAACTGCTGGAATTATTCAAAACAGCACATGGTACCAAGGAATGACTTTATGCAGGTGCAGTCGTTAAGATACATGTATTCAACTTTTACCTGCATAAAATGGATCTTTGGGAAAACAGTAAGGAAAACCATTATTTGTTCTGTGGATTCTTTTGGCTTCATGGTGCACACTGTTCACAGTGCATGCACATTTATTACCCCTCACTGCAGGAGATGAGGAAGGCACGCTCACAAGTAAAGGATTTTTGTTGCCCATCTATTTCCATAAAATGACATAATGTCACATGGTATTTGCAAATATACTAGCTAGTCTGTACAGCAAAATGCAAAACTTTCAAAGTTAGGCAAGCAGATAAACTTAAAATGTGCCCCCAAAATTTTCAAGAGTAAAACAGATCATCTAACTCTTAGGCAGTGTTACTTCTGGTGTTCCAGCTTATTAAAATGCAATGTGTACTGACTGATGTTTATCGTCACTATATTTCAGGTGTAGATTCTCCTGTAAGTTCTCTTGAATATTTCCATGGTCATTTAGGCAGAGATTCATAAATCCTGGTTTTGCTGCTTGCACTTCACATTTAAACACGCAGAAGTGCAGAGCACACCACAAATCCATACATTCAGCAAATTTCCTGTTCCCTAATCTCTTTCTCCCTGGTCAGTGAATGCCTCCTCCTCACCCGTTAGCCCCGCAGGTACACAGAATTTAGGTCAGTCATCGAAAGGCATTGCCAGGTTAAGGAGGACAAGTATTCTCTAGTTATTCTTGTCCTCAAGTAGTGTATCAGATGAAATCCTTGATTTTTTTCAGTGAAGTGGGCTGTGCTGGGGGAGATGAAGGCACATTTTCAGCATGCTTTCCTAAGTACAAACTTCAGTGCTAACAAGCACGGTTTTCAGTAGTGTAGAACTCAGGGTATCAATTAGTTCCTCCTCTTGGTTTAAGATTCCTCTGTGTTACTCTAGTTTCACACCATAAATTTATCTTTCTCATAAAGGTATTTCAGACCAAGGCCATTGTTAAACAATAGTGCTCTTTACATTCATTTACCATCAGCTCATCAAAGGAAACCAAACAAAACAACAAAACCAAAATAAAAGCCCTATTAAATCTCTTTCGCCTTCTGTTCAGCAATACCTCTGAAACCTCCCAATCTTTCATCTGTTTCTGCTGAGGTTTTCTTTTCCTCTAAAATAAAATCAGGCAAGTGATAGACAAGTAGAAGAACAGTGCATTTTACAATCACATTCCATTTGGTCCCAGAGCTGCTAAAACCTTCAGACTGCCCTTTGCTCGCTTCCATGCATAAATCCTTGATGATTAAATTAAAACAGAATGAGGCTAAACAAGAAACTGTTCAACTAATAAACTGAATGCAAGCAAAAATCTATCTTTAAATCAGTATATGATATGATAAGTGCTTAAAGAACCAGCTCGGCTCTCCTCACACAGTTGTTTGCTGCGTCCTGCTGTATGAGGCACATGACTGCGTTACAATTGTTATGCAAACAAAATATCTGGGGCAGAGAACCCTGATGGAAATCTGAGCAAGCACATCTGTGGAAGGTATTGCTGTCCCAAAGTGAGATCCCTGGATAAACAGAGCTTTTTTTTTGATTAAAAAAATAAAAATATTTGGTCCAGGTGCTAAGCAGCTGCAAATTGATCTGGCTCTATTAATACCAGTGAGGACTGAAGAATGCCAGTTTACTTCAGCTGAGACTACTAAAACCAAAACTTTCAAGACAAATTTTTAGATTAGATGTGGGATCAGAATGTCAGATCCCTCTCAGACAATGTTCTGGCTGCCAGCTAGTAGAAGGACAAGAGTAACAATCATCAACAATAGCATCTTAGAATAGGTGTTATTAACCATGACTTGTATAAAGTACTGTTAACTTTAAAATGTTTTAAAAGTCTCCTATTTAATTTTTAAGCACAAGGGAGCTTCCCATCCTCACTGTTCAGAAAAAGTGATTCACTTCATCAATCTCAAGGGTTTTTATGTCATGGTAACAGCTCGTTTTACATTATGGACGAGGCAGCTCCTAGATACATCTCGGGCCTGTCCAGAGGCATCTGGAGCTTCTGAGTAACTTCAAGTCATGTATATTCACAAATATATTGTTAGAAAGCAACCACAAATGCCCAAGCTTCGATCTGTGGATGATGAACTTTGGAAGTCGATTTCTAAAAGGGAAGCTGTTTAGAGTCTGGTGGAAGCAAGCAGGGCAAGCAGCTCTGCATGGGAGGTATTGCTCTCTGCAAAGAATGTTCTGCCCATGTTTGGTAGAATTCATCATTTGTCTGACTTGGCAAGCAGGTTCAGGTTATCTATAACTTTATGTTGTGAAGCACGCAGACATGTGGCAGTGATTATGCAGTGACAATCTGAAGTCAGACAGTGCTAATGTAAGTGTGTTACTGTTATACTGTCACCATCCTTCTGGCTGAGAATCCACCTCTCACAGCACTACTGAGTACAAGCTGGTATTTTTAGCTGACTCTGTATGCCCCTTGAGCACTTTTCTCTGTATATACTTCCCTGTATTTGGACTTCTACTTTACTTCTGTCTGGTCTATGATTCTTGCTATAGTCTGTGAACCACTGGTAGCATCTGTGAAAGATAACCTAGAAAATCAAACTGACCACCTCAATTTGCGAAACAAATATTCTTATCTCCACTGGGAAGTTGTTAAGCATCTAGAGATCAAAATGGTGCAATGACATTTTGTCAATGCAGAGCAAACTGACTGATCAGCTATTTTCTTCCTCCTTTTCCTGATGCAAATCTCTCTTCTCTCTCTCTGTCTTCCTCCTTCATTTCCTCTGTTCTGTCCCTTGCCTTGGTTGCAGACTTTTGGTACCTTTATCATAATTATCTTGTATCTGGCCCCAGCTGATGTATTAGCTACTCTAGCTCAGGTTTCTACTGAGCAAGTCCTGTAAAGTAGATGTACAGAAATAAGCAGACCAGAAAAGAAGTTAGTTCTAATTAAATTCAAGTTTAAGTCTTTACTTTAACCCAAGAAGCTTTCTGGATTAACCTATTTATTGTTACCAGATGCATAGTACAGGTCATTGTGTCAGGTTGCCAAAATGGCATCTCTGCTGTGAAGTTAGGGCTCTCCCTGACACTGAACAAGGCTGGCCGTGGCTCCGGACTGGCGGGGGTAGAGGCCTCAGCTGCCTGCACACTGAGGCCTCGCCGCGCAAAGGAAGGCGTTGGACAGTGACAATGGGAGCAAAAGCACTGTAATCGGCCTCCTCTTCGTCCCTCCATCTGACCATTTTCTAGCCTGGTAAATCATCTCCTGGGATTGAGCCTAGGTAACCTGCTCATCGTGCTCACATGCTTAATTGAAATGGTTTGTCTAAGTGAAAAAATGCAAGTTTTTCTGGATGACCAAGCACTACAGGACAAGGGGCATGTTCAGCTCATGCCTTTGGCGTAGCCCTTCCCTCAGGTGTAGCCTCACTGAAAAACATCTGACTTAAATGCAGAGGTGGTTTGAGCCTGGGCTAGTTTGTACAGCTACAAGACTCAGTTTTGGTACAAAAGTGCTGTAAATCTACTTTGCACAGATGCGGGCCCAGCGTACTAACAAAGCTGAAGGTTAGACAATACCTTAACCCGTCCCCACATGGAGCAGGTCATTTTCCTGTTCTTTATCATTTGGGAAGAAACGTATATCATGTCACAGCACACATAACCTCAGCATGTACTCCCAGACCACAGGCAAGTGCTGAAGCAGCAACAACCGTGCAGTTTTGGGCAAGCACATGACCTCCATCAATCCCTGCAATGGCCACTTACACCAGCTCTGCAGAACGGCCAGCGCAGAGACCTGTGGGCCATGTGAAGGGTTCCCACCGACCACAGGTCTGTCCCCAGATCACAGATCTGTTCATTTCATGACCTGACTCAGCCTGCCCTGAGCTCAACGGTGCTTTACTCAAGCACTCACTTTAACTAATGATACCTCTCACCCCTGGAGTTCTTCGCCATTTTGGCTCATCAGGACCTTAAAAATAATTACAAGATCTGAGAGTTAATTAAGTAATTCATTAGCTTCATGCCATCCACACCTGCTGTATGTGAATATGCAGTCTGCTTCTCCCACGTCCTTGCTGTTAGGATCTTTCTTAGTCTGCATTTTTATTTCTGTCAAAAGTCCAGTGAGGAAAGCCCATGATTTCCAAGTTTCCGGTGACTTGGTCCCTCCATTTGTTTATTCACCTTTACCTTGCCCAAAAGCTTTATGAAAACTTTTCTTATTCTCTGGTGTCTTGTTTTCTAGCTGCCTCCAACTTTTCCTTGTCAAACTGACTTGTGTCTTTAGCTTGAGGCCATTTCTGATACAGGCTGTGTACAGTCAGCTATCAGAGCAAGGCTGCACGATTATCTCTTTGTTCTCCTCGGTGTCGTCTTCTGCAGTAAATTATGCTCAATTACCTATCAGACACAGGCTTCTCCTCTGCATTCCACGCCTACAGATTGAGGTGTATCATTCCATTCCTTCAGACTGCCTGTGTCTTCGATAAAAGATGAATGAGATGGGTGTTCCTTTGTTACTCCACATCTGCTTGTACATAGACCTTTATATTGCTGTGTTCCAGTCAAGCCTTTCAGGAAGTTGCCTTTGTGACTCTTCCTTCATGTCCCTCACCCTGAAATCAGCAGGGGCCAGTAAGTGGCTTCCTTGCTACTGCCCTTTTATTTTTTGTGGTATAGCTTGTCCTCTTTCCGAAGGAACAAGGCAGGTTACTTTCTGGTTGGATGCCCCCTTTCCTTTGTTTTACAGAAAGAACAATTATGTTGCTTCTGAACCTAGGTTTCCCATGCTGGCCCATGAGAACACATTTCCATTACTTCTTTATTTCTTTTACTGCCATCAAAGGCTGATCCTTAGAGCTTTTTTTTTTGTTCTGCCAAGCCAAACTGCACATGAGAGTAACCATGTTCATCTGTTTCAGATGGAGATTATTTTACGTTTACAAGACACGAACCCATCGGAGTGTGTGGACAGATCATCCCTGTGAGTATCTCTACTAGTGCTTTCTATTTATTTTCATTTGAACCAGCTCTCTTTAAAGACACATAAAACATGGTCCTCAGCTATGTGTGTTTTCCATTACGAAAAAAGCTGAGCTCATATTGTTGACATATCTTTAACAGCCTCCCTGCCAATGCTTATTTGAACATGCTAATAGGCTTTAGGCTCTATTATTAGGAGTTAAGTTCTCAAGTCATAGAATTCTCATGATTAAAACAAGCAAAGCAAAACACTGTGTTAATATGCTGTCAGTGGTTATGGAGGTTCACACAACTTACGGAAAGTTGATGCTTTGCTGTAGCAGTCTTTCTATTTAGTTAGTTTGTACTGTGATTTAACAAGCTCCTCAGTTCTTGAGAGAATTTGATGCATTTTAATTCCATTCTTTCCTGCTATTTCTTTTACAAGGCTGGAGGAGAAAAGGAAACTCCAGGAGACAGACATATCATTACAATTAACTTTGTGTAGCTAGTAACAGACACGAAATTATATGCGTTATATGTTATGAGAGAGAAACACAGCATTTCATGGAATCCACTACTCCCCCTACATCCCAATATACATCCTTAACATACTCTTGCTGAATGCTGCACAGGAGTTATGCTGAGAAGATAACTGTTTCAGCCAGCTTTGGCAGAAGTTTCAATGGGAGGCTCACATATAGCTATTAAAATATTGTGGGGGGGTTTTTTTTCCTTGACAAAGCACTGGGGAACTAATCAGGACATTCTCTGAAATTTTTGTTGATGTTTGATTTTTTTTTGTTCACGCACTGAACAGCAACATGGCAGTAATTCCATTAAAAGAAGAGCAGCCAGAAAAGATTACCTGAACAATTTTAAGCCCTTTATCCCTATTTATATTTGTTGCTATTTCATGTCTTTGTTAAGAGGTGGCTATTGTGTTTGGTACTCCATGGAAATTCAGAGAAACATGTAGATGACACAGAGTCTGCAAACACTTTGCACTAACCCGACTCGGAAGTAGTCCTTATGAATGTGTGATTCCACAGCTCTGTCCCTGTTCTTCAGCCAAGCATGTGGGTAAACTTTGCAAAATGACAACCCTTACATCTAATGTCAAAGTTGCTGGACATCTCTTGGGCTTGTCCCATTGAGGTTGACTGACGGAGAAACTTGGCCATGGGCGGAAGATCGTGCCAAGAACCAGGATTTATTTAGTTTAGATTTGCAAAACTCTTTGTTCAGGGTACCAAACCATCTACCATAGTTGCCCATTCTCCACCCAGGTTTGTCCTCCAGAATTTCAGCATGGCTGTCATATGCATCTATTCTGACAGTGCTGCTCATATGTTGCATATTTCCTCCACAGCTACCAGTCGCAGCCCCTGGGTCGCCACGTGCACTTAGCCATTACACTAGCAAATATGTTATTACAAAAATGAAATTAAACAGCAAGCCAAATGCCAAACTCTTCATCCTCTTTCACATCCTGGCATTCGCCAAAACATACACTCTTTGGCAGCTCTGCAGCATAAACAGGGCTATACACTACACTGTAAAGATCATTAGAGCTCTCCTTGCAATACCATTAGAAGTGCAGGCTGTTGGCACACTGTTGGCCCTGTAGCTCCCCTCCCAAGTTTATATACTGGAGATGGAATTAAACCATCACTTTGTCTCCAGAGTTTATAAACAACTAAGGGAGTAAAAAATTGGGTGTTTGGTGAAGGAAAGACAGTTGTGTATTTTTTCAAGCTAGCCAGGGGCTAGAGAGATGTCCGTGCGAGTGGCAGCTGATATGCATCAGGCAGTAACATGTTCTGGCCAGTGGCTGACTCCGTGTGACTGAGATTTTCTGTTTTCTTGCCAAAGCAGATTATTGTATCCATTTATAAGAGTGATTGTGCAAATGCAGTTATTTTATTACTCTGACATTTCCACTGAAATCAGCAGGACAAGCCACTTAACCTCTTAGGATCAGGTCTTGATTCAGAAAGGCTTGTTACTCTTATCTTTATTCACAACCTCTTTCTGCATCAGAGTAATATAATTCACTACATCTTCTGCTGCAGTTAAATGGCATTGAAATTAATGACGATAAAAAATTTTGTATTGGCAAGGAGTGTTTCTCAACTTGTTTTTTACTGTTCTTTTTATGTCTTCCATATATACTGCTCAGTAAGTTTTCAAGAAAATGAAATGTTTTGACCAAGCACTGACATTAACGGTGTTTTTACTGTAATCCCATCAATTAAGGGTTATATAATTTTGAGTATAAATATTATATCTTAAGATGTATCATGGGATAAGAAATTTGCATCCAGAAATGGTTCATCCTGAATAAACAACTCTTTCCAAATGTATCAGAAGCAAGAACTATTCGTCATGGGGCATTAAAAGTGCCAATTGCAAAACAGTAAATGAAATAAAAAATTGTGACAAAAAAATTAACAGATAACAGAAGGTTCTTTTACAAAGGCTGTGGGTGTGGGCTGTGTTTCTTTGAACAGGAGATAAAGAACTAAAAGATCACCATTGTAACTTTCTTAATGGCAGTAATTAAAAAAAAAACAAAACCAAAAACCCTTTGCTTTGTGCTGGGAAAGATTTATGTTGAGGATCAGTTTGAGAAGTAAGTGAGATAGCAGCTTGACATCCTGAAAATAAAACAGCACTGCAATATTTCTCCATCTCTCAGCTTTTATTTTTTCCTCCAGTGGAACTTCCCCCTGCTGATGTTCGCATGGAAGATCGCCCCGGCGCTGTGCTGTGGCAATACGGTCGTTATCAAGCCGGCGGAGCAGACCCCCCTCAGCGCCCTCTACATGGGAGCCCTCATCAAGGAGGTACGAACGGCCCACAGCAGCCACGCCTCCAGCTCGCCTTGCGGGCCAGGGATGAGCAGCACACGCCTGCTCGGACGCGCCCTGGCGCTTCTCATCCATCACGAGTCACTTCATTCATTCATTCATTCATTCCTATTTTGACAGGCTGGCTTTCCACCAGGAGTTGTCAATATTTTGCCAGGGTTTGGTCCAATTGTTGGTGCAGCCATAGCATCTCATGTTGGCATCGACAAGATTGCATTTACTGGATCCACTGAGGTAAGAGGATTCACAGATACGTTAATGTGAAATGTAAGTAAATACTTTGGTAGTATGAAGTTCTTGTGCTACATTTCTCACTGTTGCTGAGCAGAAAAGCTACGTGTAAATAACGGTGGCCTCTCCTTCCCAGCTAAACTTAAGGTACTGCAGT